GTCACCCGTTGCAACACGTTGCAACTCCAAAATTTTATAAGCTGCAACTAGTTGCAACTAGGTGATGCTTTATTTGTCACCACGTTGCAACAGTTGCCGCGCCATCTTTAATTTAAAGTAATTAAAATTGAAAGAGACTAATTTAATAAAGATTGGTAATAATATGTTTATTTTGTTAAACTACTAGAATGAGTTCAGAAATCTTCTTTTAATTCAAATGATTTAATTATTAAGTAATCTTTTTTATTGATTAACTTTTAATAAAATTAACTTTTTTTTTATTATAAATCTAAATAATATTAATTAACTTCACAGGATAGTAACAAAAGATTAATTATATTATTATAAATAATATTACTTATTACAGATAAGAGATCTTTTAAATATAAAAGAATACAAATAAAAAAGAAAAGAGTAATTAATGCTTGATTAAAAATCTCTAATTCAAGACTTATAATATGATTTACTTCTAAAAAAATTTTGTTAAAGGAAATTAAAGTAAATAAAAAGATTCAAAAGTAGATAATTATAAAGTATAAGAAGATTAATTTTTAAAAGATTAAGAATTTAAAAGGTAAGAAAATTATTTTTCTAAGTTAAGATATATATTATATTTATATAAGTTATTATTACTTAATCTTCAAATATTAAAGTTATTATTAAGATTACAAAAAGCATTTGCTTGATGATTATATATTACTTGTTCACTTGATGATTATATATCATTTGCTCTAATATTATATAAATTTCATTATTAATATCAATCAAATTTAATTATGTAGATTAATTAACACATGTTTTTATACTAATAATAATAATATGAATTAAATATGATTAATATGAATTATAATTAATATAAAATAAAATAAAATAAAATAGAATGAAATAATATAAATATAAAATGAAATAGAATAAAAATAGAATGAAATAAAAATAGAATAGTATGAATATAATGAAAATAGAATGAAATATAATAAAAATAATATGAGTAAAATATGGATAATATAAAATAAATATGAATATAATTTACAAATCACATATTCAATTAAAATAAACTATAAAAAATCATGTGATATGTCAAAATTCATATTATAATAATATCCATATATAGTTAATTTTTTATTTATATATTAATAATAATCTATCTAATTATAATTATCTGTATCTTCGATCAATTCAATAATTTATTCATGATTTTCTTAATTAAATTATTAATATTTATTTTATAATATAAATAAAATTTCAGATCATTTAATAATAAAGTTAAATTTCTCTATAGTCATATTTATTTATAGTTGCTTTATTTTGCTTTTCTATTTATATATAAATATAGTAAAAAAAATTTCTCTATAATCACCAAATTTTACTTTTTTGAGAGTGATAATTATAGAGAGATTTAACTAAGATTGCTTGATAATATTCCTTAATAACTGCCAAAATTCTGTCAAAATTATAATAAATTATTAATAAATAATTCATTAAAATTCTAATGAGTTTTGAAATTTATCATAATCAAAATTATGTCAAAATTCTAATTAACAATTAGTGTGTAATCTGTTATAATTATGACGAGATTTTTCTGAAAAAGTTTAGGCAAGCATTCTTAGATTTAATATATTTTCCAAAAGTTCTCTAATTATATCACTTAAAAAATTCATATTAATAATTTTTAGTTGGTTATTAAATTAACTTTTATAGCTTTCTTTTGTTTTTCAGTAACTTTTTGATGATAATTGTTACAAGTTTGAAATTATTCTTAGAATTATATCTCATAAACTCAGTTAAAGACTTAAAGTTTCTGCAGCTATTACAAAAAGTTGAAAAGAATTTCATTTATAAAAAAAATTAATGTAAAAAAAGAGAAATTGCAAATTAACATTAAATATAACTAATTAATATTGATATGAAATATCAGAACCTTTGTGATATGACATGATTATCATTACTAACAAATAAAAAAAATAAATTAAAAGTCGATAACAAATAAAGAAATTAATAATTTTAATGAAATGTAAATCTAGTAGGAGTAATACATGTTATAGGAATGACAAATGTGAGAAAATCTTATTTTTGACCAGCTTTAGTTTTATTAATGAGGGTTGATGGATGCTGTCTCATGCAAGTAACGGGTACTAGAGAGAGTATTCCATCAATCCCAAAATTCAACTAGTCATTGCTGAATCCATTGATTAGTTGATAATTAGTGAAAAAGATCTATTTTGTTAGTGAGTGTATTGGTGAAAGAGAAAGGAGAGGAAGAGTTTATTGTATTAACGAGTAGTTAATAGGTTTCAGCACCATGAAAAGCAAATTACAAACTTCCATTTGTTGATAACATCATTCGAAAAATCAGGCCACGCTGGGAGATAATCGTGTAATACAATATCACGTGATCCAATATGGGATCGAAGTAATTTAATCATTCAATTTTCTAATCAATATATATAATTTCTAATGTAAATATATTTTAGATTACCGAGGACTCTAATAAGGATCGAATGCACGTGATATCTATCAATTCTTGCTTTTCGTTAAGAAACAAATAAGCAAACAATGGCTTCATTGATACATATAGAACAAATAAAAACAATAATGAATGGTGATTATTATTCGAAAAACTTTAAACTAAGAAAAAACCTGTTTAAAAGTCTAACATATGTGGCTCAAAATTAAATCTGCATCCACGATAATTGGTGTTTCGTGTTTTCTTCTTGCAAATCTTCCGTTTTTGTCCTATATGATGTTGAGCTTTTTCTCCGAGCTATAATTAGTATAGCAGAGATATAATAATAAATATACGAACTGAAACCAATCATCTCTATTAAGAATATGCGAGTGTGCTTCCTTTTTTTCGGGTTATTTATCAAACAAGTAAATGTTTTTATCAGAAACAAGCTTGTAAAATTCGGCAAGTCTTTAATATTACAGGCTAACGTGCTTGACGACAACAATGAAGATGGATAAGATTGTCGTTGTATTCGTCTTCGTATTGGTCGTTTGTTCGCCGACGACCGTTAAATAACGAACATTCAGGGCGGTGCCAGTCATTTAAACTCGATTGATGAATTAGTTTTATAACTTGAACACGTAATAATGAATACGTAACTAATAGATTCATAGGGAGTGTAGAGTACGCGTCATCCTTATTTATGCATATGAATAAAAATGACAAATAAGAGATATTTTGTTTGAAAGTCTGCATGTATATGTATGCATATGCACTAACACAGCGTTTTTTATATTTAATCACACGATTACATACATTACTGCTATTATTCACTTTATTTATATTCCAGAAAATCGGCTTCGAATTGTGCAATCACAGCAAGAATAAGAGAGTACGTAATTCTCGCTTGCTCCTCACCCCTAAATCTGGCGCTTTTGTTTCGCTGCTGCTGCTGTTCATTTTCGTATCCCTATTTCCAGTCAATGCCAAATATATATATCTTTCCTGTATATATTATAAATACAATATATATAATATAATATAATATAATATAATATAATATGATCATTTAATTGGTGCTCTTTTATTCCTTCATTCAATATAAATACTCGCTTTTCTCGGTGTTTCAACTGCTCTAGAAACGTATCGTTCATAAAGACTTTTGTCTCTTACTCTGCTTTTTAGTCACACGTCTGCTGAATACACACTTGTTTTCTTTTCCGTAATTCGTTGACTCAACAACCAACAATAACATCAAACATTTATTTATCACCACTTTACTACAATATTACTACCAACACTGCATAACTAAGAAATCATTATGCAAATTTTCGTGAAGACGCTTACTGGAAAAACAATCACTCTTGAAGTCGAGTCTTCGGATACAATCGATAATGTCAAAGCTAAAATCCAAGATAAGGAAGGCATTCCACCAGACCAGCAGCGCTTAATCTTTGCGGGTAAACAACTCGAAGACGGTCGAACCCTATCCGATTACAATATCCAAAAAGAATCAACACTGCATTTGGTTCTTCGTCTTCGTGGTGGTATGCAGATATTCGTGAAAACACTCACCGGTAAAACCATAACACTTGAAGTCGAATCCTCCGACACCATTGACAACGTCAAGGCAAAAATTCAAGATAAGGAAGGGATCCCACCGGACCAACAACGTTTAATCTTTGCAGGAAAGCAATTGGAAGATGGTCGAACGTTAAACGATTACAATATCCAAAAAGAATCGACGTTGCATTTGGTCTTGAGGTTACGCGGTGGTGCAAAGGTAAAGAAATGTAAATTCGGGGATTGTAATGATAAGGCGGCGAAGATTGTTGGACATTGTCGGTATTGTGAATTAGACTTTTGTGCAAGACATCGTCTGATCGAAGCACACGCGTGTGTCAATTTGACGAGTTGCAAACAAGCAAGTTTCGAAAGAAATGCTGCCAAACTAAGGAGTGAACAATGCATCGCAAGTAAAGTTGTAATTTAATTTGAAATAGAATTTATACACTAGAATATAAATATTATACAAGACTTTTTTTCTTATATCCTGCCAATAAAGGTGAAAAAGAAGAATGGTCATGCCCGTTTCTATGTCATAATCATAATATTTGGCATTACCTGCATCAATAGTTTCTTCTAGACACAGTTTTCTTTTTCCCCCTTTTTTTTTGTAATATATTTATGATAGAATTGAACTTTATTATTATTTTCGTTTCATTATAATAAATAATTCATATGAAGTTGACGATTTAACCTTAAATAATATTTAAGCGAATATCTAACTATCCAATTGAAGATCGAATGATCATATTTATCCTTTTGCAGTATCAAAAATATATTAGTAGCTGATTGGTAATCAGCTTACAAAAATAAACCTCAATTATATCGAGGAAACATATAAATTATATCGAGGAAACATAAATAATATCGAGATATCCAATACTAAAATATAATCGTATTCAATATCATCAGCCCATGTGTATGTATCTCATGCCATTATCCGAGATCCAACCAAAACTCGCATTACATCTGCATTCTAACGTACCAATCATACAAATAATCCTCGAGGTAACTTGTCAGGAACAGGATTTCCTTTTAACCTTTCGTCAATTAAAAACATGCCAGCATTGAATTCTTCCTTTGTGAGTCTACCATTCTTGTCAGTGTCCACAAGGTTCCTAGATAAAATAAATGATGAGAGAAGAGAATAATTATTGAAAAAATCGAAGAAAAATAATTACCAAATTTTATGCAGCGTTTTACTATCCAATCTGCTTTTGATATAAATGTCTTTAACAACATCTCCTGTAAAATTGATGATGTTAGTTAATATTAGTCTTGAAATTAGAACTTTTAATAAAAACGATTTACCATCAATATATCCATTTCTATTCTTTTTTGCTTCAAATACTTCTTCGTAGCGTTCTCGTGCGTCATCAGGAATACCTTTGGAGAGATTGTGCTCTGAATTAAAAAGTAATAAACACGATATTATAAACTAATTTAACCTTCCATTCATAGAAAATGGATATAAACTAATTTAACCTTCAGTTTCAAAAAAATGGATATACAAGAATTCGTAATTCGTAATACTTACCACTAAATGGATTATGCTGTGGAGGCCTCGGAGGAATCTGAGGAGAGTTATCTCTGTTGCTCCTTGATGAATTGGAGCTTTTTTTTCGAGCGGGTAATGGGGGTGGTGTGGACGAAGAGGTACTTTCTGACTCAGATGTAGGGAGTTTAAATCCCTTTATGCTATTGGGAAGTTTTGGAGTTGAAAATCCTCTAGCAGAGCCATTGCTTTTTAGCTCGGAAGGTTCGTATTTTGTCTTTGCATTTGATTTCACATTTGATTTCGCATTTGCCATATTTTCATCAAAGGCATCACCAGCAGCTACACGCGCTTGTTTATCCGCTTCGGCCTGCGCAAGACTTTCAGCCTTCTTAAATATTTTATCTTGACCGGGTAATTTTCTACCAAATTTTTGAGTTAACTTGTCTATATTAAGATAAAAATTCTTTTAATTTAACAAGAATTTGAAAATAGCAAATCGATAAATGAAATATAAAATAGTACTTTGTCCTTCTTGGAATCCGGCAGAAACACCTTTTCTCGCTCCTATCGCGGCTTGATCCTGGGCCTTTGATTTAGCACCTGCTTCTGCCTCTTCAAATCTATTATTGAATTTGGATTGGAGCTTTAATTGAAATATTATGTATATTATAAAGTTTAAATTTCTAATATATTGATTAAAAAGAATATCAAATAAACAGTCAAGACTCACTCACCGAAACAACAGACTCTGTTGTTTTGTTTGAATCGGTGGTAGGTCTTGGCGGCATCTTTGGTGGGGTAACTGTTTTCTCTGAAGAATCACTATTTGAGAGTTTTCTTGGAGGAAGAGGCGGTCGCTTATTTTGTGTTTCTGATTTCGGAAATAAAGAATTTGAACTTGAAGATGTTTCTTCCTCTGAATCTGAAGTTCGAGTATGACTATTTCCATTTCGAGCGGGCATAGTTGAATTAGTTTTATTTAAGGAAGGTTTAATTCCAAGTATTGGTGGTGTGATAATAGGTTTTGCGGGTATTACTGGCTTTTGTTTCTCCTTTATGGCAGATGGCCGCAATAGTTGAGGTTCCGCATCTTCTTCATCTTGTGATTTTATTTGATTTTTGATATCTGATGGCCTTGGTGAAGAACTAATTTCAGCTTCCAGTCTTTCGGAGGAACGTCCCTTAACAATTGAAGGCTTCAATGTCACATCAAGATCTGTTTCAAACTTTGATTTGTTTCGTGTTGAGGGTAATAATGGTGAAGGTTTTACTTGCTGTTCTAGTGCCTTCCTTCTTTCACTAACAGAAGGAAGCACAATCTCTGCTTCATTTTCGCTCTCCTGAATATTATTAACGATCGGGAAAACTTTTGGCTTAGGAGGCGGTGCGGGCTTATTTAGCGATCGACTAGAAACTGTGGATTTGTTGTTGTTTCCATTTCCTTCAAATAAAGCTAATGCTCCGGTAGACAATTTTTTTGGTTTGCTGCTAATTATAGGTGGGCGCTCAGAATCAACTAATGTTTTTATGAAAATTGGAATTATATAATGACTAGGAATTGTGTGAAATTCTGAAATTTAATGCACCGAAAAATCACCTGTATTATTATTTATTATTTCTATCTTTGGCGGTGCGAATGGACTTGCGGTAGATGACGATGACATTTTAACTCCATTCGAATTTTTTCGAAATGGCCGCGGTGGAGGTTTTGGCTAATGAGCATTGTTTATTAAATATAGACTCGAGAATGATCGATCAAAGAAAAAAACGTGTTCGAAGGCTTGCGCACGGCAACAAGAATCAATTACCCAATTCCTCTTGCAGTGGTAAACACGATTTAGCCCCAGCGATCAAACAATTCGCCAAAACGATTTGACAAAATCATTGCTGTTCTCATAATATGAAGAAACAAAAATGAGCATCATCACATACCGGTTCTTTTATCTCGACATAGTCTCTCGGCACGAACCCACGCTCGTTTGTCCCTTCTTTTGTCGCTTCAATCCACCCTTCGTCACTAGCGTCAACCACTAGTTGCAACAAATATATTTACTAAGTAAAAAGAGTAGATAGAAGGAAACGATTGGATTTCTCACACACGCGGCGCGTTAATTGGAAAGATTCGGGAGATTTAGTGTCTTCTTACCGTTAATAAGAATATCTCCTTTCTTAAAAGACAGCTCGGCGTCATCGTCAGCTTCACAATCGTAGAGCGTTATAGCTTTTAAAGACATTTTATTGTAAAAATGAGAGAAATTAAATAGAGCGAACAAAGTCGATTCGTCTTGTTTAATAAACGATATGCACGTGATGTTGATGAAGTTTTACATTACGCCAAAAATTTTGTTTTGGCGGAACAGTTTTTTTTTTTACTTGGATGACGAAAAGAAAACCTGTTTCTGGAGACGAAGGCTCTTTTATAGAGTCGGAAACAGGCTTCTTATGCTCTAGTGAACCCGAAGATTCTGATTCTGAATGCGAGGAACTCGAAGACTTTGAAACTAGCCCCGTTAGAAAATCTTTAAACGCAAAAAAAGACATCAATTCTGAAGTCAAACTTATCAATGGCGAATTGGTAAATAATACCAAAAAACCATACAAATGTTCTTTTGAAGGCTGTGATGCTGCTTATTCGAAGCCCATTCGGCTAGAATATCATCGAATGGTTCATACAGGAGAGGTAACTTTTCTCGTAATATTCCAGATCTTTTCCAATTGATCTCATATCAAACCACCGGAATGGATTTAGCGACCATATGAATGTCCAGAACCGGGTTGTGGTAAAACTTATCGTCGACCACATAATTTAAAAGTACACGCTATAAAGCATGGTCAGGATCCGAGACCCATAAAATGTCCTTTCGATGGATGCGATAAAGCTTATCAATATCAGCATAGTCTTGATAGACATACCAAAACTCACGAGTACGGGAAACCTTTCAAGGTTAAACATAATAAAATCCATGCATTGGTTATTATGATATGTTTCCCTTAGGATCTGCTCTTTCAATCTGCTTTAATAGTTTTTTATTTTTAAAGTGTACATTCGAAGAATGCTCTGAAGCTTTCACGAAGCAAAATCAACTTCGAGAACACATAACATTGCATACCGGACAAAAGCCATTTCTATGTGAGCATTCTGGCTGCACTAAAAGTTATAATAGGAAGCAACATCTTATTGTACATCAAAGATCCTCCCACAGCGGTAATTAGATTTGCTATACAAGATTTGTATGCGAATTATTTTTAGTTTTATTTTTAAAATATCAATTACAATATCTCCAGTTGTCCCTCGTTATCGGTGTGCATATGAAAATTGTGAACTCGAATTTATCAAGTTTCCAGAACTTCAAACACATCTTCGAAACGATCATGAACCAATAAAAACCTGCAGTATCTGCTCAAAGAATTTCACGCAGACAAGTGGTTTACGTAACCATATGCGCGTCCACGATCCAAATCGACTTTTACTCCCTTGTGAATGGGAGGGGTGTGACGGATATTTTCACAGTGTACGTGAGTGTGTCTATTGAATCAGATCCGTCAAAGGGTTTTTAACGTCCATATATTGAAGACATATATCCAATTACACCATTCGCGTCAAATAAAATCACAGAAGAAAAACTTGAATGAACATGTTAAACGCAGGCATTTACATATCCAACGATTTGAATGTGATTGGTTAGAATGTGAGCAGAAATTCACGAGCAAGCAAGAACTGCAAAAGCACAAAAAAGCGAGACATGAGGTATGTATAATTATGCGCAAATTCCCTATATACAAAAAATCACTCTTATTTTATGAGATTGATTTTCCATAAAAGCAACCCGAAAAGAAGAGACGTAAAATCAACGATTCCATCAAAGAAGCATCTGTCATAGAATTGTTCACTGGTGGTAATTACGATAATTCCGGAAGAAAGATACGTTGCATGGTTGAAGGATGCTTATTTATGTTTAAACGAAATTATGATTTACAAAGACACCTTAGGTCTAAACATTCAGATCAAACTTTTGAATAACACTAGAATAGATTTAAAGAAGTTTAATCTATTCAGGTAAATCAAACTTTTGAATAACACTAGAATAGATTTAAAGAAGTTTAATCTATTCAGGTAACAAGTTATTGTTATTAAGCACTAATTTACTTTTATGAATTTGGATTTATTTCATAATGAATTCTCGAATGTCTAGTATTAGAAATACGCGCTGTCCTATAATCTACTTTCTCATAGGACAAAACTTGAAATAATTAACTTTAAAAGCAAGCGTTATACGTAGTTTGCTGAAATTATCAAAAACTATGTATTGATGCAAGATCAATTTAATCATCAAATCACGTGTTGAAAAAAGTTAGCTTGCTGATTATCTGGTTTTATATGAAACTGGTAATTGTCTTGTTGTGCAGCATGTTTTTAAATGCTGATTTTTATTGCCCACCTTTGAGAAGAATGGGCAAATGATAAAATCTCGTCTTTCTCGTGATGGAAAAAAAAATTGTGCATGGGAATACGGTTTTTTTTTTACGCCGATAATAAACAAATAGGAGTGCCAAATCGATATCTTAATAGAAATCAGAGATTGCCACAATGTGTTGTATGTACAATTTATTTAAGTCAATCTTGTATTCCAGTAATCCTAATCAGCTAGCTGCTTTCATTGATCTTTTGATCGTTACCGTTACGCTGAAAGCTGACAATACAAAAAATAGAATCTAAATACCATATGTGTTTATTTTGCAAAATTTGATAGGTGTGAATTCTTACGTTTAAATCAAATTCACTACATTCTCAAATGCAACTAACAATCTCCAACTGGCACGAAATTATAATTTTCACGTCATTCTATGTCATTTATGATTGATACTGCCCAAATAAAAAACAACACATACGCATATATAACACTGTTATTTTGATATTGTTATTAGCATTGTGTCTTTCTTCTTATTGCGATCTTTTCTTTTTGTATTTCCTTCTTTCCTAGAAGTAAGCTGATCCAGAATAGAGCCAAATCTAGTCCAGATTTACTTGATTATTTATTTTATCTAAAGGCCATATCAAAATCAACTTTGTCTAAATCTCGCATAAATCCTCCTTACGTAAGTGCATATGATTTAATGTGTATATGCTAGTCTGAAAATCCAGACAAATATTCGTTTATTATTTATCGTTATTATTTCTCTGCCTCAAATATTTCCCACAAATTTTTTCGACTAATAAAAAAACACTAGAGAAATCAAGAAATCTACGTTTTTCTTCCAGAAAATTATTCTGAAATTTTTCTTTCCTATTTAACGGCTATTTTGATTCTAGCTCGTGTCAGATTTGTATTACAAATACTAAAATAGATATTTCAATTATTGAACGTATTGACGACCCCAACTACTATTACCACTAACGACAACTACCAAATATTAGTGAAGAAAAACATTTCGTTTGGATGTTTTAGATCTTGTATTTCCCACCGCAAAAGATTTTTTGCTTCACCCATTTTCCAAAAGCGTGCTGCGAAAACCAAAAAAATGAGTTATCAACAGCCCGAAGAGTATTTTAATAACCTACTACCTCCACAAAATAATAACCGTCAACCCCAACAGCAAGAAGTGGAAAATTACTTGGCCTCTAGTAATCCCGTGAATGCTTTTGCTACCTCTGCGCCAATAAACTATAACACACCTTCAGTATTCACTAGTGGAGGACTGTAAGTAATGGATATACTTTTTGAAAAAATCTTTTAAAAACTAATTCCAATATGTTTATTTGCACCATGTATTACTATTCAATAAAGGAGAGACAGTAACTCCGAGTCTTCAACTCAGCAATCTTCAAACCTATTAAGTAAACAAGCCGAGGCACAATCATTGCAACCTTCACCTTATGACATTTCAAATATACCTTCCTCAATGGACCCTTTTAACTTGAGTAATGTTATAAGTAGTGGGCTTGCTAACATGGCAGCAGGAAGAGGAGGGGTTAGTGGAGGTAGTGGGGATGGATCAAACATATCTGGACCACTGAATCCTGCAATGTTAGCACCAATGCTAGGGTCTATTAATCCGCTTCCAGGACAGTCTGGTAATTACTTCTCGGATTATTTCAAGTACACTTTTTTCCACATATACACATACATATATACCCGTGTTCTCAATAGGTGGATTAGGTCATGGAGTATCGAATTTTCCTGGTCTATATTCAAGTACTGGATTTGATATGTTAGGCGTATTGGTTTGTATTCTATATTTTAAGGATTACAAATTTATTAATTTACTAATATCTGTATTTTATATTGATCATTATTAGGCACGAGTAGCAGCAAGGTAGTTAAATTCTCTTAGTTACTAACAGAAAATATTTAAATGCCAACCAACCTTTTATTTTTTTTTTAATGTTTATATCATTAGACCAAATCCACAAATAAATATCGGTCCTGTAGATATGAGTTGTTCATTTTTAGTTGGTAAGGAAAAGAAATTTATTTTTCGTGCGAATTTTTTGTGATAAAATTTTATTAATATTGAGTGTTAATTTTTTTTCAGTCGACGCCCGAAAATATGATTTTCCGATAGTCTATGCGAGCCACACTTTTGAAAAACTCACGGGATACAATAATTCGGAAATAATCGGTCGAAATTGTCGGTTTTTGCAAGCTCCTGATGGACATGTGGCTCTAGGATCACGCCGCCGTTATACCGATAACAATGCCGTATATCATATAAAAAGCCATATGGTATCTGGCAAAGAATGCCAGGCTTCTATTATAAATTATAGAAAGGGTGGTCAGGTGCGTTTGATATTTCTTTATTTTATTTGTTCGTTATTTTACTAATTAATTCATGAACTATAAGAATATGATTTTTTTTCGAATTAGCCATTTATAAATTTGGTGACCGTCATACCAATAACTTGGGATAGCGAAGAAATTGCATATTTTGTAGGCTTTCAAGTGGTACGTTAGAATGAAACAGACTCTATTTCCATCAAATAAGTTGACGAATTCTTATTACTTAATAGGATTTAGTTGAACAACCAAATGCAATTCTTGAAAAAATGAAGGATGGAACATATGTGGTTAATTACCAGCTAATGAATCTACCGACATATGTTCCACCCAATTCATCGTTCATTGGACAAGAAGTAATAGTTGACGATTACCTTCGCGAGATATCGGGTGGTACTATGCCATTTCCTGCGTCCCCAGAGGTATTCGATTTGATTGGTGGTAATGCAGATACGGAAGTGAGCAAACGACTATGGAACAAGATGCTGCTCGAGCATTCAGACGATTTCATTCATGTACTTTCATTGAAGGGAATATTTCTTTATTGCTCGCCAAGTTCAAGAAGGATGTTAGAATATGAACCGGATGAATTGGTAGGAAAGAGTTTATCAACGATATGTCATCCATCGGACATTGTACCAGTGATGCGTGAATTAAAAGAATCCTCGAATGGTGTCGAGGCGGTGAATTTAGTATATCGTATTCGACGAAAGAACACCGGATACATGTGGCTTGAAGCACATGGCAAATTACATTTGGAACAAGGAAAAGGTCGTAAATGTGTGATATTATCTGCTCGTGAACGGCCAGTCTATAAGTTAACGTGGAAAGATTTGCAAATAGCGGGAGGCATTTCTGACAATGAATTTTGGGCGAAACTTTCTGTTGATGGATTATATCTGTATGCTTCATCAGCCTGTCAATCTACGCTAGGATATACTCCTGAAGAGCTAGTGGGAACTTCATTATATCATCTGGTTAGATCAGATCGTACTACTGATATAACAAGAGCACTAAGTCAAGCACGTATAGGAGTATCAGTAAATCTGAAACACAATATTCACAAAAAGAATGGACAATATGTCGAGGTAATATCGACTTTTTATCCAGGTGATTCTGGAGCAAATCAGAAACCATCATTTGTTATATGTCAATCAAAAGAAGTACTACCAGAACCTCGACGTCGTTCATCATCCACTTCCACCACACCAAATCTCCAAAGCTTATCCCCAATGACATCTTCAGGTTCACCAGATGGATCATCGACATTTTCGAGTTCATCTGGTGGATCAACACCAACTCACCCGATACATCTTCGTAATTTTTCGATTGAACATGCAGATACCGATAATATCTTTGAAGAATTGGATACGACACGAAGTTCCAGCTGGCAATATGAATTACATCAAATGCGACTAACAAATAAGAAGCTTCGTGAGGAACTCGAAGCAATCAAACATTCTAAGAAGAAGCGGGTATGTATAATTGTCGTAATCATCATCTTCATGATTTGATGATATTGTTTTTAAGTCTTATTAAAACTTGATAATAATTTGTATCTATGCTTTATGTTTATGATTATTATTATTACTATTATAATCAAAATTGTCATTAAATTAAATAGAAGAAGAGAAGTGCATCATCTTCAAATAAGGTATGTGCTCATTGCCAACGCAAAGACTCGCCCGAATGGCGCAAAGGACCCGGTGGTCCTAAATCTCTTTGTAACGCGTGTGGCTTACGTATGTAGTCCGCGTAGAATATTATTATATCTTTAATCCTCGATGCATTGATCGTCTTGATATAATTTAACAAATAATATTAATGAAACAAAAATTAACCTTTTTTTGATTTCCCTATCTTCAATCAATCTTTTTCTTTGGCTCATTTCTTTTCTTCTCTTTATTCAATATAATTTCTAGGTTATGCAAAACAAGTGAGCAGTACTGGGACACCATCCGTAACGTCGTCACCCAGTGTCAGTGAGAGGCGATTTATCTAAGAACCAATAACAACGTCGTATAATCAATTGACCTGCATATTCGCACTGATATAATCAAAATATTCATACACAAACACACATAGAACTGATCACGCGTGTTTCTGGTACAGTAAACGGCCATTTTACCGATCTATTTCTGGCTATCCGGCATAGCCGTATTTGTATTATATATTTTTATCGATATTTTATTAATCCACCATTAACGTAGTCAGAGACAGAGAAACAAGTACACAGAGTGCACGCATGTGTGGTGTTTGATTTATTTTCTATCTTTTTTAAAATTTAGTTTTTTTTTTCGATTTATGAACAATAATTATTTTCTGAAAAATCAGCACATTTTTTTACCCCCAAAAAACATATAGTCTTTTGCTCAAACTACATTTTATACTATTTTAACTTCTATAAATACTAATTTCTTGTACAGTTTCTCCTTTATAACTTGCGTGGATGATTTGATATCATCTTCATCCACCCTTATGTATACAAATTTCACTTTTAGTTGTTTAAGCCTTTGCTTTTTTTTACTTATTCCTGTGGGTTTTAATTAGCGAAAAATCATATCTATTAGGAAAAAAAAATAAGATGACAAGAATTACTATTAACAGAAACATAAGATGACAAGAATCACTTTTAACAGAAACTTTGCACAACAATTAAAAGGTTAACAATCGGTTCAAAGTTAGTTTAGTATTCTCCGGATTTTGATGATAATTCGCTTCTGAATCCAAAGAAAATCCTTACACGCACATCTTTCGCATATCACGTGTCAAATCATTACATTCCAATAGATAACGATAATGTAAATAGTAAGTTGCTAATTGTGTTTAGTAGAAAATTAAAATTCGACTATTTTTTGGCCTGAATTAAAAATTCAATTGCTAAAATAAAAAAAAATGGACAATCTTTGAACAAATCATCTCGAGTTCTTAAATATTAAAATATAGATTATATATAAATTTTTATAAATAATGATTTTATTCTTAAATTAAAATTGTAACAAATTATATTATATTAGTAAATAAATAATTGGAATTTTAAGTTATTTAATTCTAGATATTTGCAAAAAATTTACTTGGATTTTCATAACTAAATTTTGTTTTTTATATTTTAGTTATTTGTTGTTTAAAAATAAAAAAATATTAAATTAATTAATAAGATTTTGATATCGATTTTATTTATTGAAAATAATTATTTTAATGCAATTCTATTATAATTATATTTTTTCAAAAACTAGCCAGTAAAATTATCTTTTTATAAAATATTTTGACAATAAATTATTGGAAATCCAAAAAAAATAGTAAAATTGAAATTATTTTTTTTAATAAATATTTTTTATACTATATAGTCAAATCTCTCTATAATTACACCTATTTATAGTTATATCCCTTTATAATCATTCTATTTTGCTTTCTATTTATAGTAAAAAAATCTTTCTATAGTTACATTCTCTTTATAGTCACCAAATTTTGCTTTTCTAAGGGTGATGACTATAAAAAAATTTGATTATTGCTACCATTTCTAGTTTTTACATATGAGAATATTAACAATAACTGTGTTCACAGCAGATTTTAAATAAGAAAAATATAAATGACGAAAGGGGATGGTTGACAATAATAAACTAATAAGAATATGAGTATAATATGAATGTTTAAGTGTATTTGAATATTAATAAAATAATACTAAAACTAAATATATGTTATAAATCAAGGTTAAAAAGTATATTAATAAGATAAATGGCAATATGATAATAAGTGAAAATAACAAAGGTAAAACAAAAACAAAAGAAAATAAAAGAAAAACAAAAGAAAAACAAGACACAAACAAACAAAAATAAAGTGAACAAAAGAAACAAACAAGAAAAATAAAAAAGACAAGACAAAAGTTAAAATCAGAATATAATCTTTTTAGTTTATTTCAAGTCAATTCTCATGTTACATATATAGTGAATTTGAGTTACACTGATTTACATATTATTTACATATATAGATTACAAAGTAAAATTAATAAAAGTAAAGATCTACAACATGTTGGAACATGATAA